TGTCCAATATCAAATATGTACGCGGTAAACTTCACTTATTTAGAGCCCAATACCGACTAAATTTTGCCAAGCCATTTCTTAAATATTAGAAATACGTTTCACGAATTGGTAACCCTGCATAATTTTAAACGCAACGAGGCTAACGGTCCAAATTCAAAAACACCAAATTTAGTTTCCAAACTTCTTAAAAGAAGTCACAAAACATGGAATTTCCGCTCAAAGGGTTTCATTCACAGACCTAACAGTTTGAACTATAGAAGTGAATATATAAAACATCATATGTTTGAACTGCGGAGAAAAATATGAAGACAAGATTGATCATCGCAGTTATACACACAACTTAAGCAGTTGTGAAATTAAAGCCTGAAAAAAATTTCTAAAACTATCTCGTAAACCAGTTTGAAAAAAAGTTTGAAAAGAAAGAAAAAAAAAGTTCGAAGTTATGAACTATCTCGTACAGGATAATAAAGTTCTCAACACAACCTCATGAAGGTACGGCTCGGTACTTTTCATTTGACCGTTTCATCCATGACCCACACTAACTGAAGACCCACAATATTTGCGTAATTTTCTATTCAGAGAGTGAATGGTCAATCCTTAAGCCATTTGAAATCTGCTGCCATCAATGTCAAGCGACGAGCAGAAAAACTCGATGAACAATGCTGAACAAGGAGTTGATTCTTAGGAAGTGCTCCTCCAACAATAACGCTGTCTCCCTTTGGCTTATTGGCATAATGTTAACAATAGAAGACTTTCAATAACCAGTTGATAACTCGCTTCGTCAACCGCAAGAAAAGTTGCCATTCTGGGAGATCCTAGCTTTGGCTTATTCTTTCGTTTGTCGTCAACGGAGTAAGAAAGGCGAAAATATTTATGGATGGCATCATTGAAGCTCTTAATGATGCCACTTTCTCTAAACGGAAGGTAACTAAGAGTATCACTAGTCCCTCTTGATGTGATGCTAGTTCAAAGCAGTTTTACTCTTTCAAAATTCATTGATCAGGTTTTGTTGGTTCGTGTTCAGTTGTATTCCTTACCTCTTCGCCAGTTAATCCAGCTTCGCCCGGGTCACCGGTAGGCCCAACCAATCCTACGGGTCCCCCTACCCCATCAGTTCCCGGAGAGCCTCGCTCGCCCTGGTCCCCCTACAAGAAATGACACACCACAACAAACAGTTAAACATGATGGTATATAAAATGACTGACTGGACAACTAAACGCCGCAACAAACAAGTTAAATTTGATGGTAAATAACAAGGCTGACTAGATGCTAAACGCCACAGCAAACAGATTAAACTTGATGGCAAATAACATGGCTGACTGGAATACTAAACGCCATGAATGTGGAGAAACCAATGGTGAAACGATAAAAACGATGATCCAGGATTCACGTGATATAAGGAGCTGATAACTAGGAGAGTGTACCTATCATACTGCCTTGCAATTGGCTTTCTAAAAATATCTTACCTGCAAAACCACTGTCCCATTAATGATACTTCAACTCTAGTAGTTATCATTGGACTTACAAAGGTGAAGAGATTGTGTAACTCGCACAGATAAATTTCAGTCGCGACTCCCCTTACGGTCACTTAGCGCAAAATTTAAGTGGACAAAACCTCGAGGTCCTAAGGATGTTCGCTCACGGGAGGTCCGATTGTAACTGAATGTGATGTTATAGTATTCTTCTGACGATGCGTCTCTGTGTATGCAGTGTTTTGGATCAGAAAGGTATTTCCACCAATGAGTTTCAAGTGATTTTTATTACCTGATGTAAAATGCAATCCAGATACAACTCTAACCCTCTTAGAGTGATATGGTTAAGTCGGTGTAAATCATGATTTACACTGGGTGTTTTTATCTATGAGCTCTGCGATGCGTAAAATAAGTTTTACGTCATTCACGGTGGCTGTGTTTAATTATGACAATGTATCTTCTTACTTCATCTCCAGTTACTCCTGGCTCGCCATCGTCTCCATTTGAACCGTCAGGACCCTAATTTATGACAAAAAAGTTGTAATGTATATTAAAAACACACACACTTTTAGCATGCTCACGAGCGACGTATCCACATATTGACTGACAATCAAGTAGATATCTGATTCTCTCTTACTATAGTGATAGATGAAGTGTACACAAATGTATACTACATATATATGGTTGGATTTATGAAAACCGTGACAATACTTTGCACCAAATCATTCATATACACTTTGATTTCACGACTCCTAAAGGCCTTAAAATCATTCCAAGCGATGAAAACAATAGAGAGAGAATAGCAAGAAAAGGAAGATAGGAAAGTGGGAAAAAAAGGCTGATCTTCCTTTTAATTTTTATATCGTCCACTTTAGAGGAAAAAATCCTTGAGCAGGACGCCGACGCGATTTCTTTAACACTGTTTTCATAAGTTATACTACATTTTCTCGTGGTATACCATGCAATATCCATGCCACAGACAATACAGTAACCACTTCATTTTCAATGGCTATTAACTCGCTTCCTATTATCTACGATCTCGACAACATTCCTAAACCTCTGTTTCTCCTGCGTTTTCGACCTCAAAATTGAAGTCGAGGAAAAAATTTGGTTCTAAACTGGCCCAAACAATAGCTGAAAGAAACTGGAAATGGGGCCGTTTTCTAAATTTAGGAAGGAATAAGTTCGCAGCGCACGATGGGAAGGTTGGGTGTAACACCGTACAATAAACAATGGCTTTCCTGTATTCTGATTGGCTGTATTTCTATAGCGTGATACCAGTAAAAGGTAATACAGGGCACTCACAGGTTGTCCTTTCAGTCCATCTACTCCAGGTTTTCCAGGCGCACCTTGGTAGCCCTGTTTACGAAATTGGAAAAATTTAAAAAAAAAACAGAACCGATCTATCTTCTAACATTCATGGTCTGCTTACCAAGTTGCAACCTCGTTCCCAGGGCTTCGCCTTTCAATTTCAAGGGAAAAGCCCTGCGAACTAGTTTGACGAAGATGTGAAAATCAACAGCCGTTTCCACTCCAGAGACGGACATATTGTTTGAACGGAAATGTCGTCTGCGATAGACAAGTCATCTTGGTGTGAACACGGAATGAACAAAGTTTTGGTCGTAAAAAGTCGCTTATATTTGTCCATCAATTTGTCCGTCTCCTAAGACCATTTTTCAAATTTCCTCAAAACATTGTCAAAGTAGTCTGTGGATCCACTTGGCTATCGTCTCGTGGATCCACAGCTCCTTTGACAATGTTATGACGAAATTGATGAGCAATAACAGGACAGACGCATGAAAAACTGACGTCAATTTGCTACATGGCGGGCGGAAAGATGGCGGCGAAAGCCATCTTTTCTAAAAGCAAGGTAACCAAGCCTGTTAGTGCCAGACCCCCTGCTTTTAAATCGTCTGTTTGTTCGTGGAGATAAGAATTTACGATGACCAACACAAGATGAGTTGTCCGTCTTGAACGCGTCAGACGAACAAATCGTCCGACGACTTGTCGGTCTTCCGGTGTGAAAATGGCCAATAATTGTTCAAAATCATTACGAGGAGCTCAGGTAGTCTAAGACAAGGTTTAACACTTACCCTGCTGCCATCTTTGCCAGCAAATCCGTTTAAGCCCGGGACGCCTGCAAAACCCTAGAGTGTAAAGACAAACAATCGTATTAAGACCTTGAGTGTTGGTTCTGGGGCTCAAGTCCTCGACCTCCCGCACAGCAGTCTGGCGCTCTACCAACTGAGCTAACCTGAACATTGTTTACATAAATGCAATTCACGGCTTCTTACCGGTTCACCGACCGGGCCTTCTGGTCCAGTTCGGCCGGGAGTTCCTGGTGCACCCTAAATATGCAAAAAAACAAAACAAAACAAAACAAAACAAAACAAAAAAACAAACAAAAAAGAAAGAAATTGAAACACAGAAAGCTTGTGACAAAAACAACAACGTTACACACANAAAAAAAAAAAAAAAAGAAGAAGAAAGAAAACAAAAAAGAAAGAAATTGAAACACAGAAAGCTTGTGACAAAAACAACAACGTTACACACACACACACAAAAAAACAGTTTACAAATATAGGAATCCGCCTTATCATATCCTGGCCGACGAATGGATGATAGGTAAAATAGAGCAAAACAATATCAACGCCGCTTTCGTATCGTTCCTGTGTTCCACAGGCAACCACTTACTGGTAAGACTTGCACTGAGGTAATAGCCAACAAAGGTGTCAAAAGCTCATAACAAAGTTCAGACATTTCTGGCTTAGTCCTTCTTCAGTGGGTCATACAATGTCAAGGCTGTTTGTGGTAAAATCATTCCTGACATTGCCACTTATTGTATCGGATACATGTATTTTTGGACAGTTGTTGGGTACGGTCAGCGAGAAATAAGGGTCTTAACAGGTCTCAACTGCTCAAGATTCAGTTATTTTCCGCAGCCCAATGACTGAAAAAGACCTTGTTTTGTTGGTCTGGACTTACCTGGCGACCACGATCTCCTTTAGGCCCAGGCGGTCCAGTTGGTCCAGGATTTCCCTGATGAACAAACGCACAGAATAACAGACTGTTAAACGCTGTAACTGGCAGCAGCTTTGGTCTAACGCTACATACATCAAGACAGTAGCTTCTAAGTGATGATTTCCGTTATTCTCATCAACTGCGTGCTTGACAACAGACTGAAATTGTAAGGAGAAAGAAGGCGTTGATTATGGTTAGGATAAGACTTACCACTCGTCCATCTCCACCAGGGATTCCAGACAGGCCATCTCTGCCTGAGACGCCCTAAAAAATAACATATGAAGACAACTTATGAACTAGCTTGTAAATTGAACAACAACAACAGAAATAACAAATCTTTGTTTTTCATTACAAATAAGATCACAGTTACAACAGTAAATTTTAATTCAGCACACGTTGTTCAAATAAGGTAATTATTTAATCGCTTGTTTTTAATGGACTGGAGGCATAATGAACAGTTTCCGAGTTACCCTCCGATGCAGCCCTGTTATGTCTAATTGTAGGACAGGGGCCCGTTTCTCGGAGGTCCCGAGAAGTTTCCGCACCCGGAAAGCCATAGCAAAATCTCAAACCTTATGATGACAGAGCTGTTTTATTCACATATTCTTAATATAAACAGAGGTTCCATTCCGTACAAGAAGTTTCAGGCGTATACACCTCTCATTATTTAAATACCGATTAAAGTTTCCGGGGCTTTCGAGAAACAGGCCCCAGGAGAGATAAAAGAAGAATTTGCAGTTTACAGTTTAGTTTTAGGAAGAAAAAAAAACACATTGTAATGACCAAAAATATATTCTGAGATCATGAAAGACATCATTCCTTGTTAGTTCTTGCATCTTTTATGGCATGGTGTCAAAACAGTTGGCTTCTAAGGTTAACGTATACCTTTAGAGGTGTCTCACGTCTAAGCGATGAGCGTGCCCAGAGGAACAAATTAATAAGCGAAAAACAAAATTCGCTATGACTTCTAGCTTTCAAAAGGTGATTCGGACGCTCACATTTTGAGGTCATGAAAAATTCGACAAATCATTTTATTCTTGGTGTAGTTTGATAGCCAGCTCTGTAATTTTTAATTTGATATAGGGGTTTAGGTATCTACCGACAGTTTAAACCGGACACGCCACAGACACCTCTAAAGGTATACGGTAACCTTGACGAAACGAAATATTTTTACCTAGCTTGGGCTTTATGATTTAAAGCATAAGATGACAAGTTTGTTACAAGTTCTTACCGGAGTACCGGGGAGTCCAGGCAAGCCACTTTTACCGGGAATTCCACGAGCACCCTGAAGTATTGATACATCACAGAATTATGACTAAAGAACAATAATAATAATCATTCACAATAATAATAACTAATGATATGTAGCCAGGAAGCTGCACTTGCTGCAGTGGTTTCCAGGGAGCAATTCGGGATATTGTCGTTAATTACGAGCTCTAAACTTCAAGCTTCCAGAGTGTCTTTTACTGGCAAAATCCCGGCCACAGAACACACAAGGGTGACTTCCAACCGGTGGTTATGACACTGGTGATGACATAAATTGAGATTAACTTCAAAAAAAGCGGGCTAATGTTCTACAAGATAAACCAAATGCATTCGTTTTAATCCTCTTCAATTTTGCTCATCCACGCCCCTTTTTGGTTTTCCTATGTCTTTTGCACGAACACGAAGTTATCTTAAGTCCTTGCGGGATTATGTAAGGTCCCAAGGGACATACCTCTATAAAAGGGATCACGCGGTTCGAATCTCGCAGAGGGAACATTATTTCGTTGAGAGACGCTAAGTTCGTACAGAGAAAGAATCATAACGTAAACGCAAGGTTTACGGACGGGAAAGGATTACAAGAATTGTAAGTAGAATTATAACATATTTTCAGTTTGTATTAGTTCAAGGTCATTTACGACAATTACGGCACAGAGCCTCAAAGTAACTGTAATTGGTTTCTTTCAGTTTGACTATATACTTCTAGACAGAAGGAGAGTAAAAATAAATCCTCATAATTCCCAGCTGTTGTGGTCTGATTCAAGTTCAAACCACTATGTTTCGTTTACTTCTTCGACAGTTTTTTTTTTAGTTCGTATAGTGTGATCGTCCGGGTGAGTGTAGTTCTGAAAAGAACTGTTGTTGGTGACTGA